TTTTTTTTTCTCCTAGACAACATCAGGGGAAGATGTACGTGATTTCACCAAAGTGCTAAAAAACAAGTTCCGATCCAAGAAGTATTTTGCTAAACACCCACGACTTGGTTATTTGCCAGTGCAAACAGTCTTAGAAGGCGATAATTTAGAGACGTGAGTTTTGAACAGAGATTGGGTCTTTTCAATATATTTTTTTCTCACAAAGAAGTTTTCTAAGGGTAAAGCAACTTCGTTTATAGCTAAACATGTTCTACTGCAAGAAGAAAGCTAAAACACAGAACTATTAAAAAATTCAGGCATAGTAAAATGTCCTTTAATAAAACATATAAGCTATACTTATTTAAGACATTTTTAAAGTACATTTCATGAAAGTCTCCAATACAGCTAAAATTAACTGCTTTGAAGTTCCATTTACTTAGTGGGAATGAATTAAAAAAGTTTTAAAATTGCATACTGAACCATGCCCAGAAATTGGTTTTTATTCTTTAAACAAAAAAGAGAACATACTTCAAATGTGATTACAGTGAAAGAGAAGTATGTTATTTAAGATGGTCTCATCAAATATATTCATCCTGATAGTATGTTTAAATTGCACTACAGTTTACGTGCATTGTAATGATATCATTAATGAATAGAATTACCATTAGATTTAGTTTTCTATACATTCAAACTTTCTGTACACCTGTTTGTTGAATGGTATACAGGCCAAAGATATAAAAACTGGTTTATATACTGAAAAATTGCAATCAAATCAAATTGTACAGAATGAAGACTCGACTCTAGATTAGTGTAATGAAATGTAAAAATCTGTTTAAGCTTCATTTTTAGCAAAATACTTTAAACAAATTCCTAACAATTAAGAACTATGTACGGTTTTAATTAATTCCTTTTCTGGTTATAAGATGGGAGGAAAGATATTATTTTTAAGATTATCGCTCTTCTATTTGATTACCAAAAGATCATTTTTTTTCTCTCTAATATATTCTGAAATGGGCAATTTCATTTTTCCCCTGCTACTTCTACAACAAAATATTGGAATAGAACAATAAATAAATATATTGTGCAGTACCTGTCTAAATAGCATCAGTGTTTTAATCTCCTGTTTTCTTTCTGTACTTCTTTTCTTTCAGTCCTATCACTCTTATTAGTATGTGGCCAGAGCAGTATGAGTAAGTATCTTCCATCCTTGTGCTTGGTAAGGTAGCTGAGTTTAATATACCAAATTTTTCTTCTGCAAAATTATGGAAATGAATGAGACCGTGCATAATCATGCTTTTCGGTGTCTCCCATTTATTTGAATTGGACAGGCATGAAATAAAACTTTTCTGAATGGTGAATATTTATATAAGTTGAGCCCATCACCTTAAGAGACATTTCATTCTTTTGCGTTTAATACTGTAAAAAGTTCTTGTTTTTTATGATTTAGAAAATTCAACTTCTTTTCTATTAAATTCCACTAGCCCTTCCCAATCTCCCCAACTGTTTCATGATGACACTCATTCCAGGATAGAACAATATGCTAACAGGTAATAGGAAACTTGTGTGTGTATATGTGTGTGTGTGTGTGTGTGTATAAGTATGTATATATGTGTAGATTTCTATTGTGATATGTCACAGAACTGAGACTGACATTACAAAATGGAAAATATGCATTGTTCTATATTGTTATCAATCTATCTATGTAAACTTAGAGGAAATAGTCAAACATTGAAAAATGATATGACCAGATAATTAAAGTTATGACTGTCGTTAAATGGCCATTTAATGGTTAATACACAATGTGTGTCAGAAATGCATCCTTATTCATCAGTTTGGGTTTTTTCGAAGTTTTTAATCTCTTTGGGGAGTTGAATGGGTCTATAAAGTGGTTTATCATTTGCTTAAATGATAAAAAGTTAAGGCATACAAATAATCTGGTACAAAGCTTAGTTTATTTAACATCTGTAAACTAATAAAGAGGAAGTGAGGCCATTCTCCTTCAAAAGTGAAATAAGGTTTCATTTCAAAGGAGGAAGAAAAAATAAGACAATGACACGGTAGCATTTTTTTTTACAAAAAATGATATGTTTGAGAAAATCATTAGGTTTTTAAATAAGGAGAGAAGAATGAACATTTATTGTGGAATAGGCAGTAACTTGTAATTTGGTTATTCCCATATTAAACTGCCAGCAAATACTACAGCTGCTAAACTGAGAACTGATCTGTATGAAATATAATCATAATTTATCTTTCATGAATACGGTTTTCTTTTAGGCTGGCCCAAATGGAGCGGACCAATGGTTCCTTCTTCACCGATGGTAGTTCCACCACAGGAAGTGTGTAAGTAGATTTAGTAACTGGAATTATTGTAAAAATTAATGGCCACTCATCTGATTACAAGTGTCTGACAAATCTTTTATTCGTTGATGTGTATTATGTTAGTTCCCACCAAATAGATATTAAAATTTCCTAATGGTCTGCATTAATGACAGATAATCATAATTGCATGGCATGAAGGATATAGCATTTAATTAAATGAAGTGAGTGACTTAGTAAAAAAAGAGAGAATTTTTGTAAGGCTGTATTTTGAGGTATTTACAATAAACAAATAATTGCATGATAAAATCATGAACAGTGCATACAGCTAGCCCTCAATTTACAACAATTCACTTAGTAACCATTTGAACTTACAACAGTGCTGAAAAAGTGAGATATGACCATTTTTCACACTTATGACTGTTGCAGCATCCTCAAGTAATCAGAATTCAGATGCTTAGCAACTGACTCATATTTATGACATTCGCAGTATCCTGGGTCATGTGATTACCTTTTGCGACCTGCTGACAACCAAAGTCAAAGCCAGATTCACTTGACAGCTAGGTTAGTAAATTAACAACTGCAGTGAATCACTAACAACTGTGGCAAGAAAGGTTGTAAAATAAGGCAAAATTCACTTAACAAATGTCTCGCTTAGCAACAAAAATTTTGGGCTCTACTGTGGTCATAAGTTGAGGACTACCTGTACAATGCATATAATGATATATGAGAATGATGTTGAGGAAAGAGATGCTGTCTAGGAAAAAATCAGACAAGAGAAAGGGGAACCCACAGTTATTTAATGATCTGAGAAAGGCCCACTCTTTAGGATCAGACAGTTAAAAGTGTCTGCGGGAGATATGTGCTTTCTTTCTTTTAATATAACCGTACATTCCCCCCCCCCCAAGGGCTCGTTTTTAGCATCAGTATGACTCTGTACCAGGGGCCTTTCTCTTTGCTTCAGACTCACTAGGTCATCATGGAAACATTCACCTGAAATTGATGTGTGCATAATAGATCTGCCTTAAACAGTTTGGTCTCTTCAGGGATGGCTTTTAGACCAGTCAGGTGGCAAAGCAGATGAAAAATGAGAAGGCAGCGAGAAAATATTTGGCCTGATGTTACTTCAACAAAGAAGCGATTGGTTGCAGAATGATCTAATTAATTATATTTGAAAAGCAAGCAATGCACACAGTATTTTGGGAGTCCATAATGAATAAGACAGTGGTGCAAAATGGGAAACCCTGCAAGATCACCCATATTTTTCTGCTTTGGGGGAGGAAAGTTTGGGGGGGGGCTTTTGTATTAAGCCTGTTTTAGGGACTATCAGATATTTGTGTAAGTTTTACCAATTTTTTCTCATTGTGCAATTCTAGATAACTCTAGGGTCCCCCGCTGCCCCCCCCCAAAGCATTCCCCAGAAGTAGGTTGCCCTGGTATGTTACACAGGTGCCTTACTATTTAAAGCAGCAATCTGTTTAATCCTTTATAAAATTGTAAGTTTATCTTCTTTTCAGTTAATACAGCTTGCTTTTTTTTGCTTTTTCAGGCAATTTTATAGTGTTTAAAACTATGGCATTAGTTCTGCATAGAATATTCATATACAATTCATTTACATTTCAAACACGTAAAGTATATATTTATGCTGATGCTCTTTATCTCTAGGGAAGATGAGCATGCTCTTATCCAGCAGTATTGTCAGACTCTGGGAGGTGATTCGCCGATGAGTCAACCACAAAGTCCAACACAGATCTTGAAGTCAGTGGAGAAAGAAGAACGAGGAGAACTTGAACGAATCATTGCTGACCTCGAGGATGAGCAAAGGTTTCATAACTTTTCCTTAGAAAAAGCCTGTTCTACATTCACCATGCCTTGAAGATTGGCTATGGGGAAAAAAAAACCCACTAAGGGTCAGAGGTTTATTTCTGCGTGTCAGTAGGAAGATAGGAATCAAATTTCAAAATTGAAATGGAGGGAATTGTTTGTATCCTTGGTTCCCTTCCTCGCTGCTCTTCTTGTAACTCAACATTTCAACCAATGGAAATAATTTGGCACCTGCTCAGTTTTCTCCATGCTAACCTCCTCCTGTCCCAGTGATATTTCTTAGAGTTCTCTCTCTTAAACTGAATTGGATAAGTCCTTTCTCCTCCTTTTCCTTTTCCTTTTTTTTACACCAAATATAAAGGCAAGAGACACTCTGTCGGTCCATGGTTGAGGGCAGGATTTTACAATTCAGAAATCAAAACTTCTATCTCTGTCTTCCCCAGATAGAGCTAGAAAGATTCCAGGCTAAAATCAAAGTAGTTTATATTTGTAGTAATCAGTGCTCAGTCATTGCAGGGTGCAAATATGGCTGACTGCTTTCGCAGTGTTTATTGCCTTATATACAGGTATTCAAATAGCATAAAGTAAGATGGCATCAGCATAGTAACAGCATTTCTATTGGTGAAACCCCTTGCCAATCATGAAGAAGATATCAGCTAAGAGGCCCAAGACAGGGAGCAGTTTCTACCACATCCTGTTGATGTAACCAGGCTGATATCATGTACTAGCCTGGGGTAGTTTCCCACATTGCCATGGTGATGTGAATGGATGAGATCATGTAGAGCAGGGGTTCTCAACCTTGGCAACTTTAAGACTTGTGGACTTCAACTCCCAGAATTCCTCAGCCAGCAAAGTTGGCTGAGGAATTCTGGGAGTTGAAGTCCACAAGTCTTAAAGTTGCCAAGGTTGAGAACCCCTGATGTAGATAGAAGAGGCATGCAGGCTTTGGGGGGGGGCAGTTTGCTGCACACGACCTCTACCTGGCCCCTATCTCTACAATATTCCCAAGAAGTGGCCAATTTTTATGAGCCCGAGGAC